GACAGGGTTAATTATTAATGATCGTCGAACAAGAGTTTCGACGAATAAAGTCAGAGAGCTTACGTTCCTAAACGTGAATTTGAACCCGGAGGGATATAAATAATAATAAAACCCTGACATAATTGTAAATATATAATGTTAAGTTTTAAATATAAGGAAAAATTATGTACATAGAATGAATCAAACTTTTTAAATACGCCTGCACAATTTTTATATTTATAATAACAATTTATATAAATATATAAGTATACAATTTTTTTTTTTTTTTTTAGAATTCAATTAATCAACGTGGATAGGGAACCGTAAAATATCTAGATATTAAAATACATAGTTTCGAAATCTGATATTTGAAATCGATATCGGATTCAGATACGGTACTCAGAAAAAGCGATACGACCCATCCCTACCTCCCTTTAATACTGTGCACTTATAAGCTATTACAAATAACACATGTATCCCTCCTCCATTGTATGTTCAATGGTCGGAGGTCACTAAAATACAAATAATCTCAACATCGCGATCTAACGATGTTCGCTTTATCAATTAGCGCCATCTATCGGTACAAAATAAACTTACAACTCAACACTTACGAACCTATACACATAATCTTTGATGTAAAATTTGACGATTCATAAGAGCGCGCAAGCGTCTATTTGTATAAATATATTATTGATTTTGATTCCATTTCGACAGATGTGTGCCACTGTACTTGCTGTAGTGGAAATAGCCACTTGTCTGGTACCCGCCACTGGTCGCTGTACTTGTACTCGCTATTTGCTACTGTCCTTGACAATGTTTGCCTTGGCAGGGTAAATCAGGCTTTAAAAAAAGTGCCAAAAGTAATTAAAAATTTTTATCATTCATTATGAATCATATTTTTGGAATTACGGGGAATATATTGGTAGTTTAGAGAAATCATAAGAGAAATTTTTTATGAAATTAAAATTCCTACAATTTTTATTTAAAAACTTTTTATAAGACCAATATTTTCGCTGCAATATTCTTCACTGTATTATTTCATTCTTGTGAGAATTGAGGTAAGAATCTTTTTTTTAATAATATTATGTATGCCATTGGGGGGTTTTTGACAATTTTAGGGACAAATATTTTCGAGAGTTGGTAACACTGACAGTTTCATGAGAGTTTTATTTTCATCAAATTAGATATTAGTTATCTGATAAGACATATGTTATAGATACTGATTTTCAGTTTTCACTTCGCAACTTCACACACATCAAAGAAAATATAACCACTACGTTTACACATTTCACTCGTGTTAGTGAGAGTATTAGTGTTCTGTGATGTGATTCTGTGATTTCATTTGACTAGGTTAAATAAAATCATGATTGTGTTTACCGAATTAATTACACCACAAATCAATTTACTCATCACTTAAATTTAATTTTTCCCTGGAAATCTGTTAAGATTCATTTGGTATAACTAATGTTTTCGATATAAATCTGGAGATTTCATTGTGTCCGATTCTTAAAATTTAAAGAGGTGCCATAAATAAAGAAAGAAGAAGAACATTCTTAAAAAACAGTCTTGCGAAGTAAACAAATCTACAATTATCATAATAATATTGTCCAGGTTTGAAGTTTAAATATTTTCGAATTTTAATTATGATCTTATATTTGTAAGCAATTAACTAAAGCTTAGTATGTTGTATAACTTACTGTTAATTAAAAAAATATTCTGCGGGTCCTATATTTTGATTACTCGACCCCTACCATTAGTACTCTATCTTATGAAAACGGACACAAGCTATTTGATTTAAATCTTGGTCCACTTAATGAATTGTCCTATTGCCCGGTATAGTCTTCACTACTGCCCAATTCCTATATTTAACGAACGGCCGTTAGTTACATACCTTCTTAACTTTAATAACGACTTGTAGATAATCGGCGTGTACGACCGGTTCCTATATTACCAAATGAGGCGTTTTACTTACGAGCTGTTGCATTACCTATGGAAAGTGAGTTACTAGCGTTCCTTAATATATAGATATTCACTAAAAGATATGGCCTCAAAAACATTCCTTTACTATGATAAAAGTCATATAGTTTTTTACTAACTTATTACAGTCAAAAACTGGGCTTGTTGTTTTGTATACTACCATCGTATAATATTATAATGAAAATAATTCCATATTAAGATTTAGTCAATTTTACTTTATTTCAGAAAATAATATAACCAATATAATCTGCTAAAAATTTGCTACATACATTTCCAAAAACTAATCTAGACCAAATAAACGGAAATGGCACTATCCGGGGACTATAATCCAGGTAAATGTTTATTTATAAATAATTAAAAATATGTTTGTCATTGCAACATCTCTGATTTTTTAATTTTTATCAAAATCAAAATCAAAATATATTTATTCAAATAGACGCTTGCGCGCTCTTATGAATCGTCAAATTTTACATCAAAGATTATGTGTATAGGTTCGTAAGGTACCACCGGTTCGGAAAGCGGTTTCTGTTGAGAAGAGACCGGCAAGAAACTCAACAGTTGCTCTTTTTCAAAAATATCAGGGTACAATATAATATACAGGTATAATAGTCTTATTCTAGCCTACGTGAGTATCAACAGTATTAACTCCACACATTGGCGTCGTCGAGATATTCCGAAATGGTATAATATGCTTTAATCATCAGTTGATTTTTAATTTACATTTAAATTGGTCAAGCGGCAGACTTAATATCGACTGTGGGATTTTATTATACATGCGTACACTTTGTCCCATGAACGACTTATTTACTATTTTTGTAGATGAAACAATGGCGTAGTATTTTGGCCTTATTTCTAGTTTTTATTTTACGTCTGTCACTATTCTTTACGTAATAATTAAGGTTATGACGTATATACAAAACATTACAATAAATGTATTGAGAAGCAACAGTGAGTATATTAACTAAATATTAATTCCTGATATACTTAGTTTAACAAACAAAAATATTTCGACGATATGTGAAGTCCTCCAATCTGTTTTGGAGTTGTGTGGTGAACTATGCCCTAATATTTCTGTACATAGTAGGTCTTAGCCCAGCATATTGGGTCACATGTAGGCTTACTTTTTTACTTCATATAATTTGCTCAGTCAGTTAATAATAAAATGAAGATTTTTGATTGATTATGAATTAAATTTTTTTTTACTTTTTAAAAATAAAAAAATAAAAAATACCATTACATGTATATGTATACATATGCATGTAAATACAATTTTTTTTATCTTAATATAATTCTGGTACACCAATTGCTGTCTTACTTGCAATTTTCCATTTACAGGCCTGCCCGAAGAAATTTAAAATAAGCAGTGCCTTTGAGCAAGTTTACTTTTATGTTGAATTTTTATTATTGTTGAGTTTGAGTGTGCGTAAATAAATATAAGTAAAATATAAAATAAATAAATAAATAAATAATAAAAGTAATCCAAACAAAACAATCAACAGTTTTATTAAAGTTCCCATTGTAATGCAAGAATGCAGCATTTTTAAGATAAGCAGGTACATATATAAATTTCTATAAGATTATTACAGTACAAAGTATACAGGTAGAAGTAAATAATTATTTTGCTTTGTTTTAGTTTTTATTTGTTAAATAAATATAATTTAATCAATAACATCACAATGTCAATCATCGTCATCAAAGTCAAAATTTGTAGGCTCGCGGAATGTGGGTTCTGGTGCGTGAATAAGGTATTCAGCGGGACAGCACACCTTATCTTCAGAGCACGGCCTGTAAAGTTGAAACAGCTTTGTTTTAGCTTAACATATTTAAATTTAGCTTGGTGAAAATTTAAACCACTTTTATTATTCAACTGTACTTGCAAAGGAGGATAATGTGTTAATGAATGATGTTTAATAATTAGCCTATATTAAAAGCCATTATTATACTATGTATATTCTGAATATATATGAAGTCTCCACAGTTGTAGGCTATGCCTTAATATCATATGTAGAGAAGAGGCCTTTGCCCAGCAGTGGGAAATTATAGGCAATTACTATACTTTTAGAGCCGTGATAGCTCAGTGTCCGGGCGCTCGCCTTTAATTCAATATACTCGAGCAACCTGAGTTAGATCCCCGGTGCCGGCACCAATGAAGTTTTTAACTTTAAGTGCAGACTTATCACGCGCTCCGCGGTGAAGGAAAACATCGTGAGGAAACCTGCATATTTTCGAAATAATAGCAAAAAAATATATATATTTCGAAGATATGTGAAGTCCGCCAATCCGCAGTGGGGCCGCGTGGTGGACTATGCCCTGATACCCTCTCTATAGAGGAGGCCTTTGACCAGCAGTGGGACATGTATAGGCTGTTACTTTACTTTACTATACTTTTAAGCGTGTTCAACTGTGGCACTCTAGAGAGCATTCCTGTGGCCCGATTTTGATGATTAATACGTCAAACAAATTGTCTTAATGTTGTGTGCATCAAAATTATATACAAATACGACGTTTATCTGATACTATCGCGCCGAGACTGAGTCACAGAAATTACGGTACTTAATGGAAATTATTAATCCTGTATATTTTTCCGTATTATACGTTCTATATCACCCGTATGATGAAAAGCGGAACAATTTTTAAAAGCGGCGCAGTATAGGCATGCGTCATCTTAATTAAAAAATCATTGGTTATGTGTCACTAAAGTCATGGCAGTAATTAAAATTCAATATGGCGACAATCAGACGCCTTATTATTAAAAAGTTATGACAACATATAGAAAAATGTTCTCTAAGCTGGTGGAAATGTAAAAACGCTACTGTAAATAGGGATTGTTTGACTTTGTCCGAAACCCTGGTGCATGAAGGTATGCAGCGGTGATAAAGAATGGGCTTTATTCGCGTAATTTTGACGTAGTTATAATAGCTCTAGTTTGGCGCGTAGTTTTAACTAACTGTATATTACTCACACATTTAATTAAACATTGCATATTATTGTAATGAGCAAATATACAATATCGGTTATACTTTCCAGATGGGCCCATCATTGAGATGTTTAAGAATCTCATCAAGAATGATCTCCTCAAGAAAGAAACAGAGCAACGGGTTTTTCTATCCAATGCACTGCTAACCGAGATTCTGCAGAAGGAATACTTTATGGACACAATACTGATGCACAAATTCGAAGTGGAGATATATCTGAATGTGCTGAAACGTTACATAAAGTGTTGGCCCGATTGGGATACATTTGCGGATGACGTCGTCGATTTGCAGGACAAGGGGGACGAGGAGGGTATCGCGACGCTGCTCAAAGAGAAACGTCTGAGTATGAAGGAGTACTTGGGCGAAATGCTGGACATCGCCCAAGAGCTGGCGGGCGAAAAGGTGGAGGAGCTACTGGCGAAAGAGAGGAGAAGCGACGAGGGAGTGATCATGGAGGTGGAGGCGACGGCGCAGCAGTTGCGCAGCCTATTCTACCGGCATCCGCTGCGCGGGAGCATATTCAACGCGAGCGACGGGCCCCCACCGGCGCTCCGCAGCCCCAAAAGGCTCACTTTCGAGTCGATCGTGAACTGGACCGGCGTGGAGATAGCGATCAACTTAAAGGCCGAAGACAAGCTGCTTATATACAAGCGGCGGAACATCCACAAGCTGGAGCACAAGCTGGTCAACATGAAGCTGGAGCGGCGAGAGCGCCAGGGACCGGATCTGAACGGGAGGGTGATGCTGAAACTGGGGAAGCGGCGCGTCACAATGACGAGGGACGCGCTGGAAAAGCTCCTGAGGCAAGCGTTGAGCTCCGAAGCGAACGAGAATTGGTACTCGGTCCGCAACGTGCTGGAGAAGGCGCTGATAGATGAGCTAGCGCACCTGCCCGAGCGTCTGGACATCGATTGCGACCTCAAGCGGCACATAAGCGGCCGCTACGAAAGGTACTTCAGCCAGGAGCCGGAGGGGGGCGAGGGCGCGGATAAGTACGATCTACGGCTGGAGGAGGTCGTCTCGCCGATCGCCCAATACAGCTTCAGCCTGTGCGGACTTCCCATCACCGATGACGGCCAAGAGTGCATCGCTCTCAGCTGCCACCCCTGCCAAGCGACCTTCGACGGCGGCAGCGCGGTGTGCGACATCCTGAAGCACTTCAGCGCCCTCCACGTGGCCGAACCCGACTGGACTTGCCCGAAGTGTCTCAGGGTGTTCACGATGTCCGCTTTAACGCACGCTGCGTGGGACCACACTTGCGGGGGCGGCGCATAATCGCCTTTGGTACAGTTGCCGTTCTGTTTTCGGCCTGATAATATATATGTATAAGCCGTGATAGCTCACTGTCCGGGACATTTATAGGCTGTTACTTTTTTTTTACTAATATATATGTTTAATATAGAATATCAGCCCCGGATCTTCAATTTTTTTTGGGTGGGGCAAAAACAGAAATGCCGCCCACGCCCACTTACATTTATTTTTACCTTTATCATCTCGTACCTGGAGGACTGGTTTGTTTTTTTTTTTTTTGGTAAATCATGTATTTTGGAAATAACATGTAATGAAATATGCATAATATTTTTCGATCCTACCGATGTAATAATAAGAAAATATGAACTGGTGTTTTTCACAAAAGAAAGAACTTTAAAAAAATGGGAAAAAAATAACAAAATCATCTGAAATCGAAAAAAAAGTAAATAAAAATACTCCATATATCGCCCGATTACCGACCGAGCTATTATAACATTTTTTTTCGGCGGAATTTACCGTCATATTCGAATGATATTTTTCATTCGAATTATATTCCGAATAAATTCTTAGAAATTTAAATTTTTATAGTGCTAATCTCTGCACTTAAGTTTGAACTTTAAAATTTGTACAAAAAGTACGAAAAGATTGTCGCCGCTATCACGAGAGAAGCAATGGCGAGTGGCGACATCTCGTTCGAATTATCGTTGTAAAACGATATTCGAAATTGTTTGTATGCTGGAAAGGATATAACAATGGATACGCCAAGCATTGCTTCAAATGCTAAAAAACAATGTAGGTAAAAGACGTTAAGATTTTCGTCGGTGTGGCAATCAGCCGTTTAGCTCAGTGGCTAGAGCGTCAGGCCGCGAATACCGAAGACGTGGGTTCGATTCCCACAGCGGCGACAAACTTTTCGTACTTTTTCTACAAACTTTAAAATACTTCGATTTTATGTATAAATAAATCCTTGTACGTGTTTTATTGGATGGTGGTGTAGTAGAACTTCCACGGTAGCTGTGCAGCCATAATACAAAACAGTATTGTCTTACTATGTTGATAATGCGTATTAATAAAATTAATATTATAGTATCGCTCACTAGTCATATTTAATTTTAATGTAATTAGATTATGATAGATTAGATTTCATCGCGTTCAATCCTGTTTTTCAATTCGTAACGTTTAAAATAAATTATATTAAAGTTGATATCAACAAATCTATCTTTGGGTAACGATAATCGGCTAATTTCGTCTTCATAATGTTTTCTCTATCGCAGACTATTTATGTGACAGTAGTTAGTGATGCAGAAAGGACAACTGAGGAATCATGCATTGCAATTTTTTTGCAACTTCTTATTAAAACATGTAGAAACTTCATATTATACATGTGTATTAAGTTCTCTTGAGCAAAAAAAAATGCGTTGGCATTTATTACACAAAATCAAAAGATCAGAAAAGTTTAAAAAAATATGATCATTCCATGGCGCAGTTGCAAAGGTATAGACTTCGACGTCGGAGTCGTGAATTCGATCCCCACACGGGACAACTATTTGTGTCACAGATAGTTGTTTCGCATCTGGGTGGTTGTCCACGTGATATTTATGTTTCTAAAACTTCCTTACAACACAAGATAATGTTATACTAAAAAGTAAGGGCAATTTTAAAACAAAGAGAAGAAAACTTACAGTTTTTTATTCAATTAGAGTAAATTTCTTCTTTATCTCTACAGTTTTCTTTTTTTTGTTATTTTGTTAAAAATTATGTTATTTTCGGTTTTGATTATATGTTTATTTTAGTGTAAAGTCAGTCAACTACTGTATTAATTCTTTTTTAGCATTTAGTATACTTCAATTATTATTTTTCTATTATTCTTTTTTTAGCAGTTTTCAATATAATAACTTTTGAATGTCGTTTCACCTGTAATTGAGATACCATTTAGTTGAAGATACTATGTAGGTACTTATTTATATTTTAAGCTTGTTTTGATGTGTATCTTGTTGGTGAAGTAAATAAATAAATAAAAATAAAAAAGGCGCCTGGCGTGATTTCTATTACTACGCAACAACGAGGTATAGTATCTGTCACATAACTTCATTAAGGAATAGTGTGAAAACAAAATTGAGCAATTTAAACCCGCCCATGTGGCTGTAGTTGCATCGACGCAAAGCGACATGTGTATACTTTGGTACATCATCATCATTTCAGTCTGTTTGAGTCCACTGCTAAACCTAGGCCTCCACCACAGACCGCCACGAAATACAATAGTATGCCACACGCATTATTTGTACGCAAAGCGACGCGGCAACAGTGTACGTCGACGCAACTCGTGTTGACGAGCTCTCGAGTATTTATCGATGACGCATCATCGCGTTAAAGTTACCACTAGTTGAGCAACTCATTAGTAGTATGACTAATACCCCTTTTCAAATTTAATCCATTACTACTTAATCTCCGGAAAGGACATCGGTTGTCAAAGGAAACTAAAGACAGTTCGCTGTATTCGGAGAAACGCGCGAATTTTTAATGGCAAAGGACTAAAACAATCAGGCAGGACACCCGATGGTAGCTTTTCGCCACCGCAAATGGATTTCACATATCGTCAGAATATGTTATTTTTCTTATTGAGACAAGAGAGCTCGTTCTTTTCTCGTTCAAAGGTTAAGTATAACTATTCAACGAGGAAATGCAGCTAGCGTTCTTGGCACCATGCCGAGAATGGTGGACCATGGATTAGGTTTATTAGATAATATTTTAGATAGATTTAATCTTGTAAATATTAGATCAATAAAGTTTATAAATGTTTTTCTTATTATTTCGAAAATATGTAGGATTCTAGACCTCACGATGTTTTCCCTCACCGTTGAGCACTTGATAAGCCAGCACTTAAAATTGCAAAAATTTTTTTTTATGTGAGTAGGAGGCAGGCGAGCTGGTGGTTCACCTGACGTTAATTGACTACCGCCGCCCATGGATATTTGCAACCTCCTGAGGGTTGCAAATGCGTTGCCACCTTTTAATAAACTGCGGACCGGCTACCTCACTCACCAGACAACGCAGAAATATATAAGGTGCAGTGGGGCAATTCCGAAAACGGGTATATTCCGAAATCGTTAAATTTCTATTAATTATAATTATATTTCCCTACTAGCAACGTTAGGCTAGACAGCATATTTAATAACCACGCCGTCTCAGTCGTAGCAAGTCGCTAGTGACAATATTATGTGTGTGACAGCAAGTTTTCTTGGACAAGTGTTTTACGCGTCATTTTTCGTGATTCATAATAACCCCAATAAATTTATTTCCCAATTTTGCTAAGTTTCATGAACAAGTTTCCCTTTTAACCATAGATTAATTGTTATTATTAATTGTTATTCTAATTGTTATTAATTTATTTTTTTCGGAAATACCCTTCCGGGTTTATTCCGATATATTATATTTTCCTTATAACCCCATTTAGCTTTCACATAGTAATAAGCAGTGGTTCTCAAACTTATTTTTATGTATTTGCATTATTAACAAATTTGTTTTACATATCTATCATGTCCCGAAATTACATAAGAAAGAAAATTAAAAAATACACTTCACAAGATTTGGCTCAAGCGATCGAAAAAGTTATAAAGGGAGAACTACCTACTAACTTAATATACTGCAGCTCAAGTATATAAAATCCCCTTGACGACTCTGCATGAATACGTTAAGAGAAATAAAGCAACAGTCAGGTTTAATGCAAGAATACCTACCGTCATACCTATAGAAGAAAATAAATTAGCAGAACAATAAAACTATGGAAGATGTCGCTGAATATGTGCACGTAATTACAATATTCCGACACCATTTAAGAATAATATCCCTGGTTAATTAATTTCCGGAAACGACATAAATTGTCTTTTAAAAAAGTACAGCCGGTAGAATTTGTAAGAAGAAAATGACAGATCTATTCGTCATTGCAGAATATTTCGATTTGCTGGAAAGTATCTTGAAGAAAAAGATTATAAATTAAATAAATATATATTACATTCTTTGATATTCCTCGTCCTTATTTATGCTGGTTTTATTCCAATACTTTGTATTATTTACTAAATAATACAAAGTATTGGAATACACAACAATATATAAAAAATAAGTTGACAAAACTGCTTAACAAAAAGTTTCCTACAATTGTAACTTAAAGTTTGAGAACCACACACACTTTCAGGGGTAATTACGAAATAACAAAGCTGTAATAAATTAGATTAATGTTTCTATGGACAATATTGCGTATATTTTGTGTAACACATAATTACGATTGAAAAAGTAATATGAACTTTGTGGCCAGAGTTCAATAAATACAACTTTTGAAATACTTCAGAATTACCCCATGATAGTTCGTAATTATCCCTTTTACGAAAAGAATATAGCTTAATATTTCAAATGCTCTAATCCAAAACCCCAATTGCATTTTAAGAATTGAATAAATATTTAACACAGTTATTTTCGTAACGCAAACAGATGTAAAACAATTATGGTCTTAGATATAAAACTACTTTCAATAATTAATCGAAAACTGGACCCTTAGTGACGTCATACAAATTTATGTCGGAATTACCCCACTGCACCCTACAGCCTAGAAGTGGGCGATACAAATCGTATCAGATATGAAAACTAGATATTAGTACAATATCCGAATATCGCTTACTGGCTCGTTCAATATCTATGTATTTTACAATATCTGATATTTCCGAAATCTGATGTACCGTGCTCGCTCGCTATACCGACACGAATCGCGATATCATACGCGTTTGCCACAATATCTGATTTTTAAACAAATTTCGAGAGACAAAGCGCGTGAGATACAAATACTCACTAGTTAAAGCGGGACGGCAAGCAATGCACGATATCAGATATCGAGCGACAAAGCGCGTGAGATATAAATACTCACTAGTTAGAGCGGGACGGCAAGCAATGCACGATATCAGATATCGAGCGACAAAGCGCGTGAGATATAAATACTCACTAGTTAGAGCGGGACGGCAAGCAATGCACGATATCAGATTTTTAAACAGATTTTGAGCGACAAAGCGCGTGAGATACAAATATTACACTAGTTAGAGCAGTACGGCAAGCAAGGCACAATATCAGATTTTTAAACAGATATTATGAATAAGTTAAGTAATTTTGAATCTTAAAACCATGCAAATAAGATCCGTTTTAATTAAGTACTAATCATGGTATCAAAGATTACTACAACGATATTATTATATTTCTATTGTTTTGTTTAGCCTTGAGCCGTAACGGGCGACAAAGCGCGCAGTTAAGTAATTTTGAATCTTAACAGCATGGAAAAAAACTTTGTTGCATTTAAATACGAATTACGGTATTAACGATGTCTTTAAATTTTGTTTAGTCTTGAGCTGAATAGCATTGGTACCAAGCACGTAATAGTTAACGTACGTAACTTACTACTTAAGAATTTACTGCCTAATTATTATTAATATTATATTAAGGAATATACTTAATATTATATTAAGGAAGAAAAATATAAATGGAAATTTTTTAGGAGGTAAATTTAATAGTGCTGTGCTGCTTGGGTGGAAAACAGACCAAGCCTTATGTGCTTTGTGTGTATATTTTAAATTCTTCCGCCCTAAGTTATAATACTGAATGTATTATTTCTTACACAAATTATAAAGATATTGTCACTCATGATTGCGTGTTTTAAAAATATGTTAAAATCAATTATTAAGCGATATATAAGATGTTAAAATAAATCATTTTTATATTTCTTCAATTTCTATTTTTAATGAAATTTTTAATTTTATCAGGTAATGTTTTAATTTTACCTTAATAGTATAAAAAAATCGTGATTTTAAATTCAGTAAGTTTTTTGAATTTAGTTAATTTTAGTGGGTTTTCGAATTCATTTAGAAGTATTCTTTTTGAACAGTTGGTATCACTGGTAATAGCTTTTGGTAAGTCTATTTAGAATGATCGTCGAACAAGACTTTCGACGATTAAAGTCAAACAGGTTACGTTCGTAAACGTGAATTGAAACCCGGAGGAATCTAAATAATTATTAACCCACACATAACTGTAAATAAGTTAAGTTTTAAATATCAGGAAAATTATGTACATAGAATGAATCAACTTTTTAATAATCCTTTTTTTTTTTTTTTTTAGAATTCAAGGTGGATACGGGACCGTAAAATATCTAGATATTAAAATACATAGTTTCGAAATCTGATTCAGATACGGTACTCAGAAAAAGCGATACGACCCATCTCTACTACAGCCATAGTGTGTCGTTACCATCGCGAAAATAAATGAACACAGGTCCACAACGCTACTTGCCAATAATCATAAAAAATATTAACGTTAAAAAATCCATAATTAAAAAAAATTTTTTTTCAAACAAACTAATTAAGTAAAAGATAAACAAACATACAACTACAACTGACTGATTCATAAATTCAGAGACTTTTTAGGTGAGTATAGACTACAACATTTTCTGGAGCGTTTCTGTGTAATGTAACGTTCTTACGAATGGTACAATACACGCAAAAGCTCTGTTTCCAAAGCATTTCCATGTAATGTAACGTTCCTGCGAATGCTCGGCGTTATGTTACGGGCGTAATGTTGGTAAATGCACACTCGCTCACAGCGAGTGTGCATCATAGAGAATGTAATCACTACGTTTATTGGTGTGCATTTACCAACATTTCGTTGTACCTTGCGTTCATTCTTTTTTGAAATGTCGGACCTACAAGTTGCGTGTGCTGCGTTTATCTTGATGAATTATATTAGAAGAAAAATAGAAATAGAAGATGGTGGCAAATGAACATTTATAATAGAAGACAAACTCTTGGAGGTGTGCAATTAATGTTAGACTTAAAATCGCCCGCACTCGTGGCTCGACGAAATGTTACACCAATATGCAATATGGTTTGTAACAAAGAGACGAGAGTGCTCGACGTTTAGTTCGTGAAAGGATGATACACTAGAACGGCTCGTTGTTCTGTTACAAGTAAATGTTGTAGTCTATACCTCTATATAAGTGTATCATCTATCTCTATATAAGTGTATATCATCTATGGTCTATACTCATCTTTTCATTCGTTGGCACAGCGTCGCATTACAAGCCTCACTTTCTAACAGTATGTTATGTCTCTTTTAAATTCATTCAACCCATTCATATGCTTTGTGACCTTTACAAATGAACTTTACGTTACAGTTTTATACGTAAGGGGGTTCTAAAATACTTTGTTTTAGAAAATTTCTGTAAATATTGATGTTTAAAGAAAGTAAATGCTTAATACAATTTTAAAAAGTTATCCTTTATATGTGTGTTCATTTATTGTCGCGATGGTAAAGACATGCTGAATAACACTATCGCCGGTCTTCTGTGAGGTCGTGATACTTCGGACCTGCCCGTTTGTACAACGGCGAACCGTTGCGTGGCCCCAAGTAAAAAATCAACAAACAAAAATATTTTGAAGATATGTAAAGTCCGCCAATCTGCTTTTGAGTCGGGTGGTGAATATATGGTATATGGTATGTCGCGTGGTGAATATACGTCATGTATAATGTAAAGCGGAACAATTTTTGAACACCGCGCAGTATGGAGTCGTATTTATTAAAACATGACTAACTGACCTTATGTAATCGCTGGGGACATAGAGTGTGAAGTCTATGGATGCAGTACCATAGTCACAGCGCTCCCTTCCGACGCACGTGCCGATGTCTCTTCTCGCAGTGCTGCACGTCAGTATCGTGGATGTTTCTAGAAGGAACTCAATAGATTTATAATCTATATTGATTGAATCTAATATCCGTTTCTCTATCGATTGTTTTGTATGTTCGAAAATATGACAATCTTCACAAAGACCTGGTTTAGTTTTATGAAGCCGTACATTTTAAATTGTTATGTCGCAGTATTGTTCAACCTTTGATTTGTACAAAGTGAAAATTTTTTGAAAAAGATAATGAAGTATATTTTGATGACTCCGTGGCGCAGTTGCCAACGTATCGGCTTCGGCGTGGGTTCGATTCCCACACGGGACAACTATTTGTGTGACCCACAGATCATTGTTTCAATGTAAAAAAAGAACATTAAACTTTGTTAATGTGCCAAGCGTTGCTTCACTTCAAATGCGAAATAACAATGTTAGATAAAAGACGTTGCGATTTTCCTCGATGTGGCAATCGGCCGAATAGTTTAGTAGTTAATGCTTCTGAGCGCGAATCCGGAACACGGTTCGATTCCCGAAAAAATAAAGAAGTATTTTGTCCTTTACATTTTTGCTTAAAGAAATTATATCAAGCTAAAAACGTTAACGTGTTCACCACACTTACGAAACCCTCTGCTTTAAAAAAATTCAAAGTCTACTTATACAAAATTAAAACTGATCCTAAGTTGTTTAACACTACTACATTTTTGATTTAAAATTTAAAATGTACTATAACTTTTATGTACAAATGTATACTATAGTACATTATGTATACTATTGTACATTATTCTATTCTATAATATATTTATATGTACCTACACATGTAGTCTATTATTAATTTCTTTATCTAAGATTATAAAAGTCATAAAATATAAAGATATAGTTATCTCTCGGCACGATGCGATCCAAGGACACAGGATGGAGGTTTGAACCTTGACTTTGTTCGCAATCTATAGTTGGCTTAATTTGGGAACTAGCGTGTTTTCAGTACTGAGTTTAAAAATTATATTTTCCAATTTCTAATAAATTAATCTTGGACTTCTATAACAATTTGTATTGGTTTTGAAACATAGTTGCCCCCCCTGGTAAGCATATTAGCAACAGCAGTTGTTCCAGACATGTCCCACCTTTAACGCTGCTGACCGTTTTTGGGCTGGTAAAGCAAAGTAAAGTATCCCACTGCTGGGACAAGGCCTCCTCTGTACAGAGCGTATCAGGGCATAGTCCACCACGCGGCCCTACTGCAGATTGGCGGACTTCACTTATTTTTTTTTGTTATTACTTCGAAAATATGCAGGTTTCCTCACGATGTTTTCCTTCACCGCTGAGCGCGTGATAATTCGACATTTAAAATTAACAATTTCTTCGGTGCCGGCACCAGGGATCGAACTCAGGTTGCTCGAGTATATTGAATTAAAGGCAAGCGTCCAGATACTGAGCTATCACGGCAATTTGGGCTGGTATTTTTATTTTATTTAATAAATATTTATTTTATTTAATAAATAAAATAAAAATACCAAACCAAATCAAAGTAAATGCAATTGTTTGACAAATAGAATACAATGTATTTGGCTTACTTATAGCTTGTTTACAATTGCATTTCGATATTTCTCCAAAATAAATAAAAAAAATACCATATTAAAAAAAACTTAGTAGATAATACACATCACTAAATTAACAACAAAATTACTTAGGGTCTAGAGAGTTGGGATGGTTATCACGCCTTACAAGGCGTGCGCTACAGCGCAGGCCATCAGATGTTTGTGATATAGGTTTTATACTTTAGTCGCCTCTTACGATACCTACGGTATCAAGTGGGGCGCAAGTGTCCGGGAAGTCGATGGATGTGTGTCGCATACGATCGTGCTTCGTGGCGGTTTGTGGGGGATGCTTATGTCGAGCAGTGAACTTAAACTGGCTGAAATGATGATGATCATGTTAATGATCCCACTACTTCAGATACGCATTCACAAAAGCCACGCCCCCCACTTTGACGCCCTTTATTCCGCAAATATCGTATTATAAGTATTTTGAAAATCAATAAGAACTTTAGTGTAATGCTTCTATTTCAATATACAGCGTGTCGTTACCATCGCGACAATAAATGAACACACGTCTAACGCTACTTGCCAATAATCATAAAAAAATATTAACGTTAAAAAAAATCCATAATTAAAAAAAATATTTTTCAAACAAACTAATTAAGTAAAAAAGAAACAAAATTTGTAACATCCTCCTATATAACTCGCACCACAGCGTCGTATTACAAGCCTCTCCTTCTGACAGTATGTTTTGTCTCTTTTAAATTCATTCAACCCATTCATATGCTTTGTGACCTTTACAAATGAACTTTACGTTACGCTTTTATAGGTAAGGATGTTCTAAAATTCTTTGTTTTGGAAAATTTAATAACTCTGTAAATATTGCTGTTTAAAGAATTTAAATGTTTAATACAACTTTAAAAAGTTAACCCCCTTATGTGTGTTCATTTATTGTCGCGATGGTAACGACACGCTGTATATATTTTAATTTCAATTAGAATTCTTGCCGGCCCTACTGACACTAGTTCGCAATCATTTTAATTACATTTGTTCTTTCAATAAAATTTCAACTTTTTGATTTATAATCTATCATCTCTATCTTCATAACATCAGTTTTTTCACGTTATTAGCATGACTATTGAACTAGGGTGTCAGTTTCTAGATTATTTTTACAACCAACTTTTTAGTGAAGATTACACGAAAAATATTTTTTGTGTATATTTCTATGCTAAAAAAGGCTCAATCATGTGCTAATTCTTCAAATCTTACGGTGGTAGGGCCACGCAGCAGCCTCGGCTGTTGCACGAATGGGCAGGCCCGTCCGGGTAAGTACCACGACCTCACAGAAGACCGGCGTAAAGTGGAAGTATGACAAATACTTTCGCGTTTCGTCTGGTGAGTGAGGTAGCCGGAGCCCAATTTTCAAAAGGTTGTCAACGCATCTGTAACCCTGGAGTGTAGCAGATGTCCATGGGCGGCGGTATTCACTTAACATCAGGTGAACCGTCAGCTCGTTTGACAACTTTTCGCATAAAAAAAAGAGAATAGTTAAATTAATAACCAGAAACGTGACGTTTAATTGGTATATGTTCATATCGCAATGAATATTTCTCCCATAGGCTTTCCACAACATTGTTTTGTGTTTTTAACTTGATTGCCTACACTTAGGGTGACCAAAGCGCATGCGCGAATTTTTCGATTTTCTTCGCCCCCACATATGCCCTCCCTTTCTAGCGCCGTTTCCCTTCAAGATAACCTCTCCATGTTCATACCGCCCTGGTACTTCGTAGACATTTTCCGTTCCGATCGAAGTTTTCTTTCTCCCATCTTTCATACCCCTCTGTTAATTTTCGTAGCTTTACGCTACGCGATAAGTGTCTTTGAGTTCAACAGTTCAGTTTGTCTATTACAACGTCTAAAGATTCCTTTCTCCTATCGGTTTTCCCCTTTTCCCCGCCTTACTCCTTATAGCCTTTCTAATGTCTGCTTCAAAACTCTCACGATCCCTTATATCCTGGTACATCGTGGATATTTTGCGTTCTAATCGGGATTTTCGTAGCTTTCTAGCTACCAGAAAATGGGGATTTTCCCGTTTTCGTAGCACCTGGGATTAGAGCTTCGGAATTCGCGGACTTTTCTCTAATCTCGAAGGGGAGATCGTTCGTTCGAGTTGAACTTGCTACGAAGTATCACGCTAACATATTATGCAACCCTAGTATTTTGTGTCGCTACGCTTCCTCGTAAGCCCTGCAACGGATACTTCTGCTACGATCCGAATTGTCTACGAACTGCGCGCAGGCTAGTCGACATATTGCCTACGACGATCGAACATCCTGTTTCGTCGTAGACTTTCGATGTATTTTAAAAATAAAATATCTTTTTTTTAAATATCAGAATATTGCTTTATTTATTTTTAATTTCTTGTCAATTTGTTATTTTGTTATTTTTTTCCCATTTTTTTAAAGTTCTTTCTTTTGTGAAAAACATCAGTTCATATTTTCTTATTATTACGTCGGTAAGATCGAAAAATATTATGCATATTTAATTACTCAGTAATTTGTATCTAAATGTAATTTCCAAAATACACGATTTACCAAAAAAAAAAAAAACAAACCGAGCAAAGCTCGGTCCTCCGGGTACTGAATATGAAATTAATGATTATACATGTATTATAATATTTATGTTTCTGTTGATACTGCGAATTCTTATGCGTATTATGTGTCACACTTAAAGTAAAAATACGGTCATACCTATAGATTTTTCCACAACTAAGCATGTTTTAAAATCTTTTTTAAAAATTGTTTATCGTTAAATTTAAATATTTTAGTTGTGGTATTAAATAAATCATTTTATTATATTATTATTTATTATTTTAATGAAATTTTACAATTATATAGCTTATACAGCAGAACAACGCATATGGCATAATTTATAAAGATATTGTGTGAATTGACGAAAATATTACGATAAGTGTTAAAATAAGTAGGAAAAAATTCTGCCATCTGGGAGCTATTCTGGTGTGCGCTGCCAAAACCGTTACGAGTTACACGTATATAATGAAGAATGGAAATGTTCATCTTAAATAGACCTACAAAAAAAACTGTTAACGTTACGACGATTCTGTGAAGCAACAGTAGCCAGTTTTATTAAAAAAGGAAGAAATCATCCGCTTATATGCACTTTTCACGTGCGCCGCTTTTGGTTGGTTTCGGCTCGTCTTGAAAGACTCATACACTCGATTGCTGCTTTGCTTTGAGATCGTAGCAATTAATCCATATTTCGTTATCTGTTACTATGTCCCAAACGAAATTTGTCTCCCCTTCGTTGAATCTGGTAAGCATTTTTCCAATTGACGAGGTCGTTTTTTTTAGCTTCGGTCAAATTGAGCATTGCTTTATCTCAATGTTTGTGTAGGATTGATTGTATGGTAGGTCACATGCCTGTCTGTTTCGATCAAACGGCGCTCAGCATCGATGTTTTTGTTGTTCACAGCTGTGACGGGCGATCATCGCGAGATTCGTCACTGAGATTGACAAGACCGCGCTTGAATTCCGCAAACCAGCTATAAATAACTGTCTGGCATGGTGCTTCGTCGCCAAAAGCAGATTGAAGCCGAGCGAGGCTGTGCTGAACTAACAAATAACACTTAAAATCGTAGAAAACCATACTACGAAAATTTTCCCGAGTTAAATCCATGATAATGTAGACACGCAATTTATAAAATGGCGACACAATGTAAAAACAATTGACTGTCAGATGAAACAAGCTGCATTCTACAGCCAAAGAGTTCCATTTTCAAATGTTGTAATTACTTTTTAAATATTGTTTATGTATGTGGCCAGTTCCTTTTAGTGTGACCTATGTAAATCGTTGTATCTTAAAACTTGAATAAATTTACGTGAAGAAGTCACAATAATTTCTTTTTAACACTACGAAGAATGAATTGCAATGTATCCAGTATTTATTCCGTAATGCGCACACAACTGCACAACTCTATCATTTTATACGTACGAAGATAGTTAAGGCTAATAAATTCATGATAAACTCGATCCTATCGCATATTTTAGAATAGTAAAATAAATCAGTACTTTTTCTAAAAAAGACTTGACCTGGGCCTCTCATAAATATTTCGCTGACGTCAACGATATTAGTTTTAACTACACACAACGACGTTAGTTTGAACTTAGAGACTTAAAGCAAAGGCTTTTTGAGAGCCAAAAATCTTCCGCACACTAGAACGTAGCCGTGATAGCTCAGTGGCCGGGCGCTCACCGACCTCAATTTACTCCAGCAACCTGAGTTTGATAGCCGGTGCCGGCACCAATGAAATTGTTAATTTTACGTGCTGACTTAACACGTGTTCATCGCTGAAGGGAAACATCGTACGGAAACCCGCATATTTTCGAAATAATAGCAAAAAAAATATTTCGATAATATGTAAAGTCTGCCAAGCCACAGAACCTGACTATGCCCTCTTTACAGAGGAGGCCTTTGCCCAGCGTAATCAAATTGGTAAATAATCTTCTTGAGTCTTGATCACTGAGGTCTTAAGTTCCTAAGAAAATCGGTAGTGACACTCGGACAGACAGATGGACAAAAGAGGGATCTTATAAGTAGTAAATCTTTTTTTTTACCATTTAAGGTAGGGAACCCTAAAAAGAAAGGATCAACCAACTCACCGATTTTTGGCATTGTAGACATGTCAGTGGAGTTTAACGTGTCTTTCTGCGCAAAGACCACCGCGCAGAACGCCACCGCCATTATGTGGGTGCTGGTAAAAGATAATATTCGACATTGATTGTTACAAGAATGCTAGAATTTTCCACATAAACATTGCATTAGATCCGTGAGACACTTACGTACGTTTGTTTTGTTTGTGTGTGTCATGTCTGAGTTATCGTAAAGGCTAACGGATTGGAATGATATTACAAGTATGATATATCTGGGACAGACAGAAACGTTATTAGTGCGCCAAAATTAATTATTTAAATTTAATGACAATTTTTAATCAACGCGTTAATGAAAAACACGGATTGTATATACAAGAGCATTAAATATTATTTATAAATTAGATGTTATTTGTAATATTTATAATCAAATATTATTTTCAATATTGATAGTCCTGGTCCCAAATTAAGCTAAGCTTTAAAATATGTAGAAAATTAAAATATGTAGAAAAAGCTAAGCTGTTTTTATATACACCAACACCTAGATACTAAAAAATTACTGTGCGCGTAACCCGATTTCCAGTAATATGGATCGAACCGACGCACTCCCGAACAAGGAATTATTCATTAACCACTACACCAATGAGGTCGTATATTTTAGTTCAAATGATATAAAAGATCACGCATACTTACAAAACAGTTAACGCGTGCATCTTGCGCGATAAACAAAATGGACTGTCACTGATTGCATTGGCAATTATAATGAAATCTACGCGTCAATTTTATTAGATCGTTTCACTATGTAGTAAGTAATTAAAACTGATTGTATGTAACGTGATAAATAATAACTATATAACGAAGTACGAGTATATGGCCTACCCCGGCCTCGCATGGATACGTTTATCGGTCGGGCAAAACTTATACGCGTTGCAAGGCCAAATTATGTGTTAAGAAGTTGGATCCGATGCTTCAGAACATGTATTAACGCACAAAAATCACTTTATAAAACTGCTTGATATTTAAATATCAATGTACCGAACCACGTAACCACGACCTACGGATTTTATACACGTATTTTTATAATTCTGTTAATATAATTATTACGAAAACAAAAAACTTGCATAACTGGAAAATCGAACATATGCGTTACTTCAACCACACGACGGAAGGTTGCGGGACTTTCAAAAGATGCCCTTTTAAATAGGACTTCACATTTTCAATGGCAAAAACAAAGTAACTGTTATGATAACTTGCCCGGAAATAAAATAAACTGTTATGATAATATTTGGGTGCTTTGTTCAAAGTCATTATTTCATTATTCAATATAGGCTTATAATTAAAAGGCTCTAATCGAACTACCACCAGTTCACTAAACTAGACCTGTCCAGAGATTACCGGCAAGAAATTCTGCGGTCTTTTATCTTTATTTTTTTTAAATGAAATATGTATACAAAATTAATTTTAGTGTAAAATCAGCAGCCGCCAGAGAACTTGCATGACTTACTTTAATTTTATATAAATTTACGTTTAAAATTATGCTTTAATTAATTTTTAATAGTATCTACCGAGTCCTGAAACTAATTAATATTTTTTTTACTAATATCCAAAGTGGTGATAAATTGAGTCAAAATATGAAAGAGGAAAAATATGACGGCTGTGCCTCAAACGCAGCTGGAAAACTCGGCGTTGAAGAGAATAAAAAATATTTATAAAGTTAAACGGTGTTATTGAAAATAAAGATTAAAATTATGTAGACGATGTACTAAAACCAGTCATCACACCACATCAGACAAAAAATATAATCGTTGGGTGCGCGTAGCTTGAGTATAAATTAAGTCGCAACTGCGTGGTCTACAGTGCCATTTTGTAGATGGCCATATTGGATTTTCATAAATAACTCTATCAAGCGCTTTCATTTGATACCCATATTGAGAAATGGTGATAAAATATGTAATCCGCCATTTTGTAGCGGCGGCCATCTTGGATATTCATTTTTTTCATAGTATTCTATTATACTAGTCAAGACCTTTTATTTAATGCGCACGTTGAAGGGGTTTTGAAATGAAAACTTCTATGATGATCAGTGTTTCAGAAACTTTTTACGGTGGTAGGGCGACGCAGCAGCCTCGGCTGTTGCACGAATGGGCACGTTAGTCCGGGTAAGTACCACGACCTCAAAGAAGACCGGCGTGAAGTGGACTTGTATTAACTGATGTTTTTGCTTTCAGTCCCGAGACTATTAAAGCTTCATCGGACGCAGAACCGGTGGGCTAGCCAGAAACCCACGGGTTTGGACCCTCGGCTATTGGTAGGGCCGCGCATGTGCTCATGCGTGCGTTTGACTATGGTGTGTCATCTTAGGGCCGTCGAGGTCGCGGTTCGGACCGAAACCCCGATGGCCGTCGACTGTGCAATTAGCTAATCGGTGGCCGGGAGCGGTGAGAACCGCCCCGGAACGCGGGAAGTATAATACTTTCGCGTTTCGTCTGGGGAGTGAGGTGGCCGGAGCCCAATTTTTAAAAGGTTGTCAACGCATCTACAACACTCTCGTGTAGCAGATATCCATGGGCGGCGGTGCTCACTTATCATCATGTGAACCGCCTGCTCGCTTGGCAACTGTTCACATAAAAAAAATCTCAATTATCGGGCTAAATCACTATTATTTTATGTTCGTATTGCACATAAATATGTAACAACGTAAAATAATATTGAACTGAAAACTGAACGGCAAAGAAATACCATACCGAGAAAAACCATAGACATCATTCCTTGTTTCAAACAATAGGGTTGAAAAAAAAACAATTAAATAACGAACATTTATTATTCTGTAAATTAATGACATTATACATAATATATTTAAAACTTAAATATTTATTACTTAAACAGATAAAATATGTTTAATAATGTGTAAAACATATTACACAAAATTTAACCTAAAATCATACAGATTATTCAATGTGAACAGGGAAAGCGTTTAAAGCAAAACTGTATAAAAACTAATAATTGGCGCTAAAATAAGAGTGATAAAAACAATATTAAAAACGAAAGACGGTAAAATATCAGTTACTTTTGATTATCCCTCTCAATTATGCATTTGCGAATCATAAACTAATGCATTTTTAAATTAAGTGAAGTATCAGTGCTTTATTTATCTGTAGGCCTCATGGCAGTGAAGTTTAAAAAGCAAATTAAAAAAAATTACAACTTACATAAAATGTTACTAGCACTTAATCAAATGCCTTAAAATGTTTTATGGCATTTACAATCTGTTGTAGTGAAACTGAAACAAAAGAAAGTCGCAATAATTATGACACATATAGCAAGGTGCCATATGTGTCATAATTATTGCGATATTTGCCATAACCACCATTTTGGGATAGAGATTTGTCTAAAAATACAACTCAAAGCGTTTTAATCAGCCAGTGACTTAAAATTAAATGTATATTATATATGAATATAATTTAAATTACAGTGTCATAATGAAAATAGAAATGTTCAACTGACATTTTATCTTAATTATAGTAACATTTTCAGTTTGATTTCATTGGTTGTTACAGCATGTCCAATGACTTATTAAAGAAACTAAATTCTTCAACCAGTCAAAGTATTAATTTCATATAATCAATTAATTACACAAAAATAAAATCAGTCATACACTCAAGCGCACATAAATTAACCACAGCATAACAGCTTCTAATGTTGCACAAATGGGCAGGCTCATCCGAAATACTTCGGCCACACAGAGGACTGGCTTGAAATGGAAGTGTTATACTTTCACGTTTCGTCTGCTAAGTGAGGTAACGGGGCACACTTTATTAAAGGACTTTATTAAAGCGATCTGGAAGCCCTCAGGTGTTGCAGATATCCATGGGCGTCGGAAATCACACCACTCATGAACACTCACACCTTCTCACATAATGAAACAAATTTTAACTAAAAATAATAGGAGCTGTGTACCCGGTTTAATACGAACAGTGAGCTCGGCACATATTAGACCCTAGATATCTGAATGTCTAGAATCTTCTACCGCAACCGAAGGAGCGGATTCACTCCACTGTTCACCTCGTAGAGTGACAACCCTACTCATTGTCGTCTCTACTCGTCGTCATGCCCGCTGTCTTCAGACACCTCTCCGTCTCCCACGAACTCCTCCTCAGCCATGTTCGGCCTGTTGGCAGCCCTATTTATCTGCAGCACGGAAGCCATCGCCAGCCCTGTTCCCAGGCTGTACTCCATAGGGCGAAGGCTCTCGTCTGGCTCCAGGTCCTTTGGCTCAGCACCTCGCCTCACCACAACCCCTCTTCGAGCCCTGTGCCGCCGCAGGTCCTCCAGGATTTCGTTGCGCTCGACCAGATCGAATTCCGCCTCGCTGCCAGACGAGGACAGTTCCAGTTCCTCCTTCGACACCCTGAACGCCTCAGGGCCGTTATGGACAGGCTCCCTGAGCATATGGTCCGCTTCGTTGGGTGGATTTATCGATTCTGTTCTCCGCGCGCTCTTCTCGGTCTTCCTGCACCATTTGATCACGCAGTAGGAGTTTTTGGCTCCAACTAAAGTTATGAGCACAGTTCCAATGTCAAGACGCGCGTTGGCCTCGCAAACGCAACCGGGTATATCCTCGATTCTCGTGTAGTAGTCGAGCTTCAGTCGAAATCTGCTTCCTCTGCCGAAAACCTGTACGCTGTGTCCGCGCGCCGAGTGTTTCATGTTGCGTCGGTTTAAACACTTCGAAGCGTCCCTTTTTCTTGCTGACCTCACTTTGGATATAAAACCTCTTCGCTCCTCGACCTCCTCCGGCTGTGTCTGTCTCGGGAATTCCGGGACCGTCCCCAGCTGGGGCATCGTCTTCTCTAACGCTCGTCTCTCCCTCTCCCTCATAGCGTCCTCTCTCTTCACCAGTTTCCGCTTCAGCTCGTTGAGCACCACCTTGGTAGCTTCCCTCTCCCTCGGGCCGGGACCGGTCGTGACGTCACCCGCGGGGCTCAGCGCCTCGTCGCCGTCGGTCCGCACGAAGTAGAACACCTCGTCCTCTGGCTCCGGCTCCCGGTCCCCGATCTGCACTAGCGGCCGAGGGTCCTCCTCGCGTTTGGCCTCCACGGCCGCCTCCTTAGGCTCGGCCAGCCTGCCGCTGAGCTTGCCGAGGCGGATGCGCGAGCTCTGCGCGGTGGCCAAGCACTTGGCGAGCGCGTCGATCAGCTCCTCCAAATCGCGGCCAAGCACGAGCGGGTCTATCGGCTGGTCGGTGGCCGCGCACGCGTCCAGGAACACGTCGATGCTGTCGCACTTGGTCGCGGCCAGCTTCAGCTCCAGGCCGGCGCGCGCCACGTCGTTGTGGACGTCCGAGTACAGCCAGCGCGCGGTGAGCGCCGGCCCCGGCCTCCTCGCCTCGGGCCCCCGCGAGCCGTAGTTCTTCAGGAGGCGGTACATCCTCTCCAGGGCGGCGAGGCTCTCCGCGAACTCCTCGGAGAGGTGCTGCAGCAGCACCGAGTGGAGCCAGTGAACGCGCTCGTTGTGGTTCCTGTAGAGGCCCCTAGAATGCGCGGGGGGCGGGAAATGCGCCATCGCCACGTGCTTCAGCAGCGTAGACTGGACCACGAGGAAGGCGTGGTGGATTTTCTGGAACGCGAGAAGGGGCTTTACTATCTACGCTGTAGGGTCTTCAGTTGGATGACAGGGTGCTTAGCGGGAGGTTTCAATATTCTATCTACAGATAATTGAAATCGGCCTTAAATTGTAGTTGTTATTGCTAGGCTGGCGTACTTTCTAATCTATCAGCAAATTAGATGTCACAGAATCTAATTAATGACGAACGTCGCAACTGCACATCAGAGAGCAGTGGAAGCAAGGCGAATGTCGAAATGGACTGCGGTGCGAGCGGGAGGACAATAGCTTCCTCTCCCCCTTACGCAGCCACCGCCTATTTATTATGCTGAGCTATAAATTGCACGTATTTCGGGGGCTTGTCAATTTTGCAAGTCCGAAGTGTACCTATGTGTGTTCGCGCTACACTAGTGCAAGATATGAAAGGGTATCTGTAGGTGGTAGAGGGGCTAGATTACAAGAACTAATTCACTAACAAAAACTTCCTATACTTACAACAGTTTAACAAATATAAAAATTTTAACAACGCTTTATATGATAAATGAAGTGAACGGAACAATTTAATTTAACCAATAAACTATGACTGGGCCACGCAACAGACTCCGCTGATGCCCGAATGGGCAGATCCCTCCGGGTAAGTACCACGACCTCAGAGAAGACCGGCGTATAATGGAAGTGTTACACTTCTGCGTTACGTATGGTGAATGAGGTAGCCAGGGTCCACTTTATTAGGGTTGTCAACGCATCTGCAACCCTACGGGCTTTCAAATGTCCATGGGGGGTGGTATTCACTTAACGTGAGGTGAACCGCCTGCTCCTATTAAATAAGTCATTGTATTATCACACTACTATGTCACCTAGAGTTACTATAATATCAATTTACCTTGTTAAACCATGTTGAAAAATAACTAAGAGTGTTTCAGAACTAATATTGTCCATAGGCGTAATCATTGAGAACCGCCAAAAAAGGAAAGAAGAAGGAAAGAAAAAGGGAAGAAGAAGAACAGCCTGCTCGATTGACAACTTTTCACAAAGAACCGGCCACTATCTTCATAAACGGCAAAAAAATCATGTCTGTTGTATGAGAGCCCCACTAAAACATTTTTCTATTCTGTTTTTTTTTAATATTTGTTATTATAGCGGCAACAGAAATACATCATATGTGAAAATTTCATCTGTACAACTATCACGATTCATGAGATACAACCTGGTGACAGACGGACAGACAGACAGAAAGCGGAGTCTTAGTAATATATATTATAGTTATTATGATAAACTTTATTTAATTCCACATACCACATATTGTTTATTAGCTTATATAAATAAAAGTTTTTTAACTTAATTCGATTGCATTACGTACAGATTAAATAAATTAATTTAATTTATAAATAAAATAATAAATGCATTTGATTAGTACCCAATTGTTTTTTCGCGGCTTATAAAGCGAGGATCATTCCGCTTCGTGCTCTCGTACGGAAAGGACGTCTCTCTAAGACGGAGGGCACATGCCACCCGAATTAGACGCTACTCGCAACTTTGGTTGCAATTTAAATATTTGTGCAAGTAGTGCAATAGTTTAGTGTTAGTGTAGTGTTGTGCTCGTAGGCAGGTTCCTGTCCGTAAGTAGAATTCTACACACATTTCTCGCCTCAGAGGCGGCATTGCCTAATTTTTAACTGTGTGCTTGTTGCATTGGGCGACAGCTAGGTACTCACCCTAGCGCACCTAAAGCGCAGGCGAATTAAGTGTTATTTTTAGGCACACTCCTCCCTGCCGCAAGGTGGGGAGGCTTATTAAGTTTACACACGCCGGCGGGGCCTAAGCCCCAAAGGCACATACTTTACGATGGGCTCCCTTTTCGAGGAGTTCGTCCGACAACGCTGTCCCGACATTTGGGAAAGCTACCTAGCGTTCGAATCCGAACAACGATTAGTCGTTGAATACGCCAACGACAGCCCGCCTTCACCGGCAATCGCATCGCCGCCATCTCCAGCGCCCTCTGCGTCCGTAACCCCGTTGCCTTCCGCGACGCAAGAAGCGCCCGTCGCGTCGACATCCGCCGCTGCGAACACGCCCGTCGCGCCTTCCTCGCAAGCTACCCCGGCCTCCTTGTGCACCGTCGTACTCGACTCATACTCGGACGGCGGATCGGATATGGAGGTAGATTTAACTCCCGCCGGTAAACCCAATGACGACGGCTTCACCGTCGTCACTGGACGAAAAAAGAAGGGCAAGAAACGCCCCGCTGTAGATAGCGACCCCGAAAGCGAGGCCGCCACCTCAATTAATAGATCCACTGCGACGCCCGCCAAAAAGGCGGCCGCGGCAGTCCAACCGGCACCCGAATACGCCGCCGAAAGAAAAGCCAAGCCTCCTCCGCCTATCATCATCCAGGAGAAAGCTAAATGGCATCAAATTTGCGTATGGTTCGAACGCCACAATATTCGAGACCCCCGGTCGAAGAACACCCATCAAGGTATCCGTGTATACCTCGATAGCATCGATGACTTCCGCCGCGTCACTAAATATTTACGCGAAAACAAAGTAGGTTTCCATACCTACTCGCTGCCTGAAGAACGCAAACTTCGGGTAGTCATAAAGGGAATCCCGAAAGAGTCGGATGTCGACAATGTAAAAATCGACATCCGCACTCAGGGATACCCGGTGCACGCCGTTCGTCGCCTACGTCACCCCAGAACCCGTGTCCCGATGGACATTGTAATGGTGGAGTTGGACCCTACCCCGGAAGGTAAGGCAATTTTTAATTTGAAGAGGCTCTGTGGGCTTAGCGAACTCGTCGTTGAGCCTCCACGGAAGTCAGGCGTTGTTGCGCAGTGTCATAACTGCCAACACTATGGCCACACAGCCCGCAACTGTTTTGCTCACCCTAGGTGCGTCAAATGCATCGGTGACCACGGCACGACAGATTGCACGCGTCCTAAAGATTGCGCAGATCCACCGGACTGCGTAAATTGTTTGACTACCGGCCACCCGGCTAGCTACAGGGGCTGCGCTAAAGCTCCAAAAACCCCCGCGAGGAAAGCACCCGTAAAAATTACGCTCGCGAAAATCGCGGCCCCGAAATCCGCGCCGGCGAAGTACATTCCCGCGCCCGCACCCGTCGTAAACGCCTGGGCGAAACCTCAGGCAGTCGCGCAGGTAGCCGCGCCTCCGGTCGCCTCACGACCGACGACATTCCAACCGCAGCCTGTCAAACAACAAGCACCGAGGCCGCAGGTGCATTTTATTACACCGGTCGTTTCCGCGAACCAAGACGACCCTTTTGCCCAAATGGCAAACATCTGCAGCTTCCTGGAACGCATAAACCGGGAAGAGCTCGCCGTCCTATCTACAAAGTTATCGGCCGCCACATGTGGCACCGATCGACTTAATGCGCTCAACGAGCACAAAAAACTTGTAGACGCCCTTTGGGTGTTTACAAATCAACCATAAAGGTTTATAGTCCGGGCAATAAAACCGCGCTTCGCCGCGTCGTTACCTAGAACCGCTACTAAAACTAAAATGGAAAGTACAACCGCAGGTAGATTAAAACCTCGGGCTCTGGTTGTTTCGTATTTTAACGCAAACGGCATTAGGGGCCAAAGGGACGAAATCGCAGAATTCCTTCGCGATTATAACGTCGATATATTTCTAGTGCAAGAGACCTTCTTGAAACCTAGCAGACGCGATCCAAAAATCGCAAATTATAATATAGTCCGCCACGACCGGTTAGCAAACCGTCTGGGAGGTACCTTAATATATTATAAACGGTCCTTGCACTGTAGCCCGCTCGATATCCCAGAGCTAAGACATATAGAGGCATCCGCGTGTAGGTTAGCGCTCACCGGCCACAGGCCGCTTGTACTAGTTTCAGCCTACCTCTCGGGGAATAAAACTCTTCTACAAAGCGATTTAGAAACGCTACTTAACTTAGGCCCTTCCGTGATAATTGCAGGAGATCTAAACTGCAAACACGGCTCATGGGACCCCCAAACTTGCGCTAACAACAACGGTAGGCAGCTCTTTAACTTATCTGACGATTTAAATTATAGCATAATCGCTCCTGTGACTCCCACAAGATATCCTACGGTGGACGATTACCAGCATTCGACACCGAGTATTCTTGATATCATGTTGTTCAAGGAGGTCTCCCTCGACATCACGTCGATAGAGACAATCCAAGAATTAGAATCAGACCACAGGCCGGTCCTGTGCAAACTGGGCCAGAACGCCGGCGCGGTCCCTCCGACCAAAACCGTAGTGGACTGGCATCGCCTTGAGGTCAAACTCAAGGCCTTGGACCCCCAGGACTTAGTAGACTTACCCGAGACGATAGCTACGTTCGATGACGCAAATCGAGCGATAGCAAGTCTCCGAGAAACCATTACTTCCGCAGTCACAGACTCGGAACGGACGGTGAAACTGTCGGGCGACCGACGGTTTAACTTTCCGCCCGACCTAAGACTGCTAATTAGACAGAAAAATGCAGCCAAACGCGCCTTCGACCGATACCGATCGGAATCGAACCGAACCCTACTTCGACGCCTTCAGCTAGAAGTCAAAGATCGTGTATCGGAACACCGACATACAACGTGGGACAATCTCCTAGAGGACATCGAGCCATCGCACACCGCCTACTGGCGGTTGGCCCGCAGTCTGAAAGCAGAGCCCCGCGAATCCCTACCGCCGTTAGCAATGCCTAATAGCACTTCATTAGCCCTAGATGACTCCGAAAAAGCCGAATGCCTTGCGGACAACCTAGAGCAGCAATGTACGCCATCGCGCGAACACATCGACACAGCCCACCTAACGGAGGTGGACCGCGTTATCGAAACTAGGGCTGCGCTTCCACCGGAAGGCGATCCATTAAACTCAGTGACCCCCGAAGAGGTCCAAGATATTATCAAAAATTTAAAACCCAAATCCGCCCCGGGCCCAGACAATATTAGTAATAAAATCCTTAAAGCTCTCCCTGGCCCACTTATCTGTTTACTGGCGACCATTTACAACACTTTACTCTCCAGTTGTTCCTTTCCGGACGACTGGAAAGAAGCCACGGTTATCGGCATTCGCAAGCCGAATAAACCAGCCAATCAGCCCTCTAGTTATCGTCCCATCAGCCTCCTTAGTTGCCTGGGGAAGCTTTACGAGCGGCTTCTATTAAACAGGCTCAAAGACCACGTGTTTTCCAACGGCCTTCTACCGGCGGAACAATTCGGCTTTCGAGCAAGACATTCCTGTCCCGATCAATTATACCGCCTAACGGAACATATCCTAAAAGGCCTAAATCACCCTAAACATATTAGCACGGGGGCTCTTTTCTTCGATGTCGCAAAGGCATTCGACAAAGTCTGGCACAACGGCTTGCTTTACAAGCTGTTCTCACTCAAAGTGCCAGACAGGCTTGTACACACCATTCAGGCCTTCTTGTCGAACCGTTCCTTTCGATATCGAGTTGAAGGCGCCCTATCCACTAGCCGCCGCCTCACGGCTGGCGTTCCACAAGGCTCCTGCCTCTCACCCTTACTTTTTACGCTCTACACGAGTGATATACCAAAAGACCCCCACGTCAATGTCGCGCTTTTCGCGGATGACACGGCGCTCTTTTATTCAGACCGCAACCTTAGTCAACTAACCACTCGACTCCAAAGCGCCGCCAACCGCCTCGGCGATTGGTTCCGCAAATGGAGAATTGAAGTAAATCCCGAAAAGAGTGTGGCGATTCACTTCACACGAAGTACTTACCCGTCACATCTTTATAAAGGTCGTCGCCAATGCAGAATGCTAGGGCAAATATCTCTTTATGGCCAACCGCTCCCCTGGGAGAAAAAGGTAAAATATTTAGGAGTCACTTTCGACTCGCGTATGTCATTCACAGCGCATATTAATAACGTCCGTAACAGAGCCGCGTTCGTCTCCGGCCGGCTAAGCACTTTAACTAACCAGTCAAGTAAAATGTCCTTAAGACACAAATTACTTTTATACAAAGCTTGCGTACGGCCAATCATGTCCTACGCATGCATGATTTTCGCCCACACGCACCCTACTCGCTTGCACAAGTTGCAAGTAGTGCAAAATAAGTTCATCCGCCGCGCAACCGGTGCGCAGTGGTATCAACGCAACGTCGACCTGCACAGTGATTGCAGACTCCCGATGATTCGCGAATTTTTCAAAGACCTGACCAAACGGTTCTTCGATAGAGCCGAACATCATCCCAACCCTCTGGTGGTAAGCGCAGCAAATTACCAACCCGATCTAAACGCGAGCGTCAACAAGCGTCGCCCGCGAAACGTCCTCATCGACCTGGTCGAGGAAGGGGACTTAGGTACGTCGGACCCACCGTCGGGGTCCCGCCGGATAACACTACACACACAGTTAGTGTAGCAAACAAACACATTAGTTCGCCCTCGCCTCCGAGCACGGCGAGACCAACACAACGCGTACACAAGGTACACCCGCGTTCCAGGGCGGTTCTCACCGCCCCCAGCCACCGATTAGCTAAAAACACAGTCGACGGCCATCGGGGTCTCGGTCCGCACCGCTACTTCGATGGCCCTTAGATGACATGCCGTAGTTAAACGCACGCATGAGCACATGCGCGGCCCTACCCACAGCGGAGGGCCCAAACCCGTGGGTTCTGGCTAGCCCACCGGTTCTGCGTCAGATGAAGCTTTAATAGTCTCTGGACTGAAAGCACAAACATCAGTTAATACAAGATACAAGACAGAAGCGAGGAGGCTTTTAACAAGGACTTCCATTGTTGTTGAGAGCCGTGATAGCTCAGTGTCCGGGCGCTCGCCTTTAATTTAATATACTCGAGCAACCTGAGTTCGATCCCCGGTGCCGGCACCAATGAAATTGTCAATTTTAAGTGCTGAATTATCACGTGCTCAGCGGTGAAGGAAAACATCGTGAGTAAACCAGCATATTTTCGAAATAATAACAAAAAAAAATCCGCAGTGGGGCCGCGTGGAGGACTATGCCCTGATACCCTCTGTACAGATGAGGCCTTTGCCCAGCAGTGGGACATGTATAGGCTGATACTTTACTTTTTTTTCCAATTTTCTCCTGCTACCTTCACTTGTTTTATTTTAGGTCTCAGCAATAGGGCCCCGTTTCACCCTTTGGGTGCGGAGCCCTGAAAAGCGGCTCACCAGCAGGTTTTCGCTGGACTCGGCGGGCACGTGGTCCCAGGCCAGGTCGTCCCTCAGCCAGGGCGCGTTGCCCAAGATGGCGGACGAGGCCCTGGACATCAGCACAGCGAGGGAGCTCTGCTGACGGCACAGCATAGTGTGCGTGGACTCTATCACGGCGGACAGCGAGCCCCTGGATTGGGCGGGATCACCAATCAGCACCGTTTTAAAAATGGAAGTGAAGTAACAGCCTTTAAAATAATTAATAAGAATTAAAGGCAGCCAATGTGTGCGCAGAGCCGTGATAGCTCAGTGGACGGGCGCTCGCCTTTAATTCAATGTACTCGAGCGACCCGAGTTCGATCCCCGGTGCCGGCACCGATGAAATTGTTGATTCAAGTGCTTTCGAAGTTGATTTCAAGTGCTGAATTGTCACGTGCTCAGGAAAACATCGTGAGGAAACCTGCATATTTTCGAAGTAATAATAAAAAAAAATTAGGAGATACGTGAAGTCCGCCAATCCGCAGTGGGGCCGCGTGGTGGACTATGCCCTGATACCCTCTGTACAGAGGAGGCCTTTGCCCAGCAGTGGGACATGTATAGGCCGACACTTTACTTTTTATGTGTATACTGGGGTATTACCCAACAGTCTTCAATGTAGCACGAATGGGCAGGCCCGTCCGGGTGGTTACCGCTGTGCTTCCGTGAGGTCGTGGTAATTACCCGGACGGACTTGTTTATTTATTTACTCACAGGCCGGCGTGCAGCGCGGCGTACTCCCTGCACACGGCCGCCGCCCGCCTCGCCAGCGTCACGTAGCGCAGCATCAGCGCCAGGAGCCCGCCGAGGCGGCCCCTGCAGCGGCGGCGGTGCAGCGCACGCATCCCCACCGGCAGCAGCGCGCACGCGCCAACGCGCAGCAGCGTCGAGCGCTGGAAGCTGGTTTGGACTCGGTCCGAGCGCTGCGGCCGCTGAGTTGTCAACTCAGCAGAAGGAACAAACAACGTCGAGCGCTGCGGCCGCTGAGTGATCGCTTCAGCGCACTGACAGACAGCGTCGAGCGCTGGAATCTAGACTGGGCTCGGTTCTAACGATGCAGCCGCTGAATTGTCAACTCGGCACACGGACAAACAGCGTCGAGCGCTGCGGCTGCTGAGTGGTCGCTTTAGCGCACCGACAGACAGCGTCGAGCGATGGAAACTAGACTGGGCTCGGTTCTACCGATGCAGCCGCTGAGCTGTCAACTCAGCGCACAGACAGACAACAGTCAGAAAACGCTCGCTTCACCTCACAAACGGAATGGTTTGAATGTTTCACTGAGACGAGCGGTGTAACGTATAAGCATATTGAGTGCACCATACACGAAGCATAATAATACGCAGTACCCACTTAAGCTCCATCCCCTCCGCCACTACTCCCGCGTAACCTTCGCAACCGCAAACTGTTCACTGCGTACAGACTTGGTTGTCCGAGGCGATACTAAGTTTACGGTGGTAGGGCCACGCAGCAGCCTCGGCTGTTGCACGAATGGGCAGGCTCGTCCGGGTAAGTACCACGGCCTCAGAGAAGGCTGTCGTAAAGTGGAAGTATAATACTTTGCGTTTCGTCTGGTGAGTGAGGTGGCTGGAGCCCAATTTTCAAATGGCCGGAGCCCAATTATCAAAAGATTGTCAACGCATCTGCTACCCTAGGGTGTAGCAGATGTCTATGGGCGGCGGTATTCACTTAACATCAGGTGAACCGTCTGCTCGCTTGGCAACTTTTGACATAAAAAAAAACTATAAGAATCATGAGTTGGTGTTTGAAAGCTAAGAAGGAGACCACTCACTCTCTGGGCGGGCATGCGAGGAGACACGCAAGCACAAGGGCCGCGCCCCCCCAGCGCTCGCCGCGCGTCATCCAGCCCCAGCCGCCGCCGCCAGCTGCTGCCCACACCGCCTGCTCGGATGGTGCCTCCTGTTCGACCTCTACGCAATCCTCTTTGAACAGCAGCCCGCTCTCCAGTATCGAGATGACGTGGTCGCGGCTGTAGACGAGCTGAAACGCGGGCGAGGGGCTTCGAGTCAGTTTTATGAATCCGCGGCATAGTTAGGTGTTGGTTTCGTCGTCGGTTCGATTGCCACACGAGCCATTTGTGTGACCTACGGATAATCGTTTCGGACCTTTTTGTTTGTCGACGTGAAGTGTATGCATGTAAAACGTCTTTACAAAACAGGATACAAAGTCAGAGTCTACAACAGAGAGAAGTCTACGATGGATCTTCTTGGTCGCTGTGGCCATTGGGACTTACTACCAAGCCCCTTTGACTATGACAATCAAAGACCGAACCCTTTCCACATAAAATAAAGTAAAGTAACAGCCTATACTATACAGGTCCCACTGCTGGGCAAAGGCCTCCTCTATACAGAGAGTATCAGGGCATAGTCCACTACGCGGCCCCACTGCGGATTGGCGGACTTCACATATCTTCGAAATACATTTTTTTTTTTGTTATTATTTCGAAAATATGCAGGTTTCCTCACGATGTTTTCCTTCACCGCGGAGTACTTGATAATTCAGCACTTAAAGTTAAAAACTTCATTGGCGCCGACACCGGGAATCGAATCCAGGTTGCTCGAGCATATATTGAATTAAAGGCGAGCGCCCGGACACAGCTATCACGGCTCCACATAAAATGCAAATACTATATAATAATAAATACAATTACAATACATAAAATAATACTAAGCGTCAGTGTGGTTAGAAATGTACCTTATGGTACATACTAAATTAACTTATTATGTACATGTAAATTACTTAAAACACTTATTTATAGATACAGTACATAACTATGGTGGGGCCATGCAACATCTGCTGTTGCATTAATGGGCAGTACCACGACCACATGGAATTTTGGCGCAGAGTGGAAGTGTTATACTTCTGCAATTCATCTGATGAGAGTAGTAACTGAGGCCAATTTTATTACAACGTACCGTTGCATCTGGAACCTATGGAACCAACCCTATGGATGATGAAAATCTTTGTGCAATGATTATCACTTAGCATTATATATAAATCATGGCAAGAAAAGTGATACAAAAATCCAACCAACCTCAGCACTCACTTCAAATCCGGGTGATAGCATAAATGATATTGTTAAGTGCTGTCTTAACACATGCACAACAGTTAAGGAAAACATTATGAAGAAACCTGAATATTTTTGAATTGATAACAAAAAAAAACTACAATGATACTCTCTGTACAGAGGAGCACATTGTCCAGCAGTGTAGTATGTATATTTTTCACCCACTGTAAAAGATATAATTTAAAACTCAAATTGATACTTGGATTAATAACTCAATAATTTGACTTGTACAGCTTACCATATTTGGTCTCAACTTAATTGCCATCCATCTTCTAGATAACAGTGGCGGTGAGAAGTCTTGTTTCATAAATAGTGCCATCTGTAAATAATAGCATTTCTATTTCAGCACTTAATACATATGAATGTAAAAGTAAAAAGTAAAGTAACAGCCTATACATGTCCCACTGCTGGGCAAAGGCCTCCTCTATACAGAGGGTATCAGGGCATAGTCCACCACGCGGCCCCACTGCGGATTGGCGGACTTCACATATTTTCGAAATACATTTTTTTTTTGTTATTATTCCGAAAATATGCAGGTTTCCTCACGATGTTTTCCTTCACCGCGTAGCACGTGATAATTCAGCACTTAAAGTTAAAAACTTCATTGGTGCCGGCACCGGGGATCGAACTCAGGTTGCTCGAGTATACATTGAATTAAGGCGAGCGCCCGGACACTGAGCTATCACGGCTCTCATATGAATGTATAGAGAATTTTTATAGGGATCTTTTACCATTTGGTGTCATTAAAAATGTGATAAATGTGTTTTCATTGAGTTGTATAATGGAAGTCAATAAATCTACTCTTTGTCAATTTTGTATATATTATCAATTAGCAACTACCCCTTATTTCTTAGACTAAAAGGTAGAAGAGATAATTTTTTACGCATCAGAGTAAATTTGCATCTGATCATTATATCAGTAACAGATCTATATATTCTGACGCAAAATATATCTAAGATAATTCTGGCATCCCGAAAACATTGTTATTAATTATTTATTTATTTGCACACTTTTTTGTACTAACTGGTACAAACGGCGGGCTTAATGCCATAAGGCATTTTCTACCAGCCAACCGGAAAGTTAGTGAGAGAGAAGTGTAGGTGCTAGCTATATAAGGATTATATAATATGTATACATACATTATGATAACAATTATTAAACCCTTACAACAATAAATAATATATATATATATATATATATGGAAATATCTGTCAAACGTCCTTAACTTTAGCTTTAAAAATAAATTTATTCGGTGATTTTCGAATTTCACTAGGAAGGGCGTTCCAGAGTCGAGCAGCTGTAACAGCGAAGGATTTAGAGAGAAAACCTGGTACAATGAGAAGGAATAAGCAAAGTAAGATTACCAGCAGATCGAAGATTGCAGCAATGAGAAGTACCCAGGAATTAGTATAGACCTGAGATCTTTAAGCTCAAACTTATAGATCTCAGGTCTATATAAACTATCATCGGACAATATGATATATGTTTACAAGTTCTGTGAAAGTTTTCTACAATAGACTAAATATAACAATATTAAATAATAAAAAAAGTCAGATAATTAAAAAAGAAAGTCAGATATTTTTAAATTATGATGATCTGGAAACCAAATTTAAATTATGAGTTCCTTTATGTTAAAAATATTTAAAACTAGCGATCCGCCCCGGCTTAGGACGGGTGCAATGTACATATAAAGCTTTCTTTTGAAACACTATCTATTGCTGAAAACTGTATTAAAATCCGTAACTTAGTTTAAAATACCTAAGCGTACAAACAACGGGAGCAACTTTGTTTTATAATATGTAAAAATTTGCTATATCGAATTTACCAATATAAGTTAACATGCAACATGTAGTCCTTACACCATCCGATGATCCGAGTTAAGTTGGGTAATTAAATATAATATAAAAATTGGGTATTAATAACAAGGCGACTATAACGATATGATATTTATACATAAATATTTTCTACAACATTTGTAAGGTTAGTAATATTACTTATGTTACTTAAAACATCAACTGCTTTATTAAAATTATTTTGAAAAAACAAGTAATTAAAATTTATTCCCATTATTTTGTACCACTTACATTTATTTATAACTTTATCATCCTAGGTATGGACTTTAATGAAAATTGAAAATGACAATCAAAATGTCATATAATGTAAATAAATAGTTGTGGGTGGGGGCAGGGTGGGATTTAGGTATGATGAAAAAGATAGTACAAAAAAATTGAAAAGGATAGTATTAGTAAAAAAATTATAGTACATTTTATAATTTTGATTTTAACAGGCATTAATTTACTCCACTTCCAAGTTTATCAATTCTTCAATATTAATTTCATCCTTGGAATTTAATTTTTTAACATATCCTCAGTAGGAATAATATCAGTCAGTGCAAGTTCCAATTTTTTACCATCTTTGATTGCGTCACAACACAATATGGCCTCTATGGATCATGTTTATTTCTTATCTTAGTTTAGGAAATAATAAATTGATCGTACTATTAGACATCAATGAACTCTAATAACTGCCTCATAGCGCATTATGCAAAGTTACTCTTCAACAAGCTATGTATAGAACAAAAATATATTTAACAGTAAGTCTCCGTTAATAGTTCATTGAATAAGATTATTTATAATCCGTGGTAATAATTGACAAAGACACGGGGAAATATCCACTTTTTATTGTTTAAAGCGTTACAACGTTATTACAACCCAATAAACCTTTTTTTTTTAATGTTGGATTGGAATTATATTGGTCATTTATGTAAATTAACGAATTTATAGTACATTTCCATACTATCCTTGGATACGGATAGTCTAAAGTACGAAGCATGACATTATAGTACAAATACTACAATCGTAGTACAAAATCCTACCATCAAAGTGTTACCAACTCTTCAAAAATAATACTATACTACTAAAGCTATTCGAAAACCCACTAGAAATGACTAAATTAAAACAAAAACTTCCTAAATTTAAAATCATGATTTTTTAAATTTATCACGGTAAAATTGTTATCTGATAAAATTAACAATTTTCTTAGTAGGCCAAAAAAATAAATATAATATAATTCATTTTTATATTACTCCAGAAATGAATATGTTAACAATAAAATCAAAACAACTTTAAAAAAATTACATTATTATTATTATTATATACTTTATTGTACACCACAAAGAATTTGATACAATTAGTATGAAATAAGTCTTAAAAGCTAGGTACAATAAGGCGGTCTTATCGCTAAAAAGCGATCTCATCCAGACAACCTTAGGACGAGGATAAATAAACTAATGAATAGTGTGCTCAATAAACTTACTTAATACCAAAATAGACTTAAATATAACAATATAAACAAAATTATAATAAACATACATAAACATAAATAAATATATAATATATATAAATATATAATATATATAAATAAATATATAATATATATAAATAAATAAACGATAGAAGAATTAAATCTGAATTTTGCCATTAAAAACTATGGATTACAAAGCGATAGATAATGTTGTTTTACATGTTAATTATTAGAATAAATAAAATAATAAGTTTTATTCTAAACATTTCCGACGACAATTTTGACACCCTTTGGCACTTTATATCGCTTAGCTAGTGACTTCAATATATTTTAAGGACACGCAATCAAAATACTTTATATTATGCCGGAAGAAGTTAAAATATACAAACAACACACATGGGCCTTGGCCTGACGTCCAGCTCAGCACTATTAAATTAACGCTTGTGGAAGCCCTTTGGGCTTTTACGAGCCAACCATAAAAGACAATAGTCCGCGCAATAAAACCGCGCTCCGCCGCGTCGTTAATTAGACCCATAAAAACACCTTAATGGGAAGTACAACCGCAAGTAGAACAAAACCTCGGGCTCTGGTTGTTTCGTATTTCAACGCAAAGGGCATAAAGGGTCAAAGGGACGAAATCGCGGAATTCCTTCGCGATCATAACGTAGATATTTTTCTAGTACAAGAGACATTCTTGAAACCTAATATACGCGATCCCAGAATCGCAAATTACAACATTGTCCGCCACGACCGGTTAGCAAACCGTCTGGGAGGCACATTAATTTATTATAAACGGTCCTTGCACTGTTGCCCGCTCGACATTCCAGAGCTAAGTTAAATAGAGGCATCCGCGTGTAGGTTAGCGCGCACCGGCCACAGGCCGCTTGTACTAGTCTCAGCCTACCTCTCGGGGAATAGAACCTTACTTCAAAGCGACCTAGATACGCTACTTAGCTTAGGCCCTTCCGTAATAATTGCAGGAGATCTAAACTGCAAACACGGCTCATGGGACACCAACAGCATCCCAAATAACAACGAAAAACATCTCTTTAGCTTATCCGATAACCTAAACTTTAGCATAGTCGCTCCCGCGACTACCACTAGGTATCCTACGGTGGACAACTACCAACACGCGTCACCGAGTGTCCTAGACATCATGTTATTCAGGGAGGTCTCGCTCGACATCGAGTCTATAGAGACAATCCATGAACTAGACTCAGACCACAGGCCCGTCCTGTGTAAACTAGGCCAGAAAGCTGGCGCGGTCCCTCCGACCAAATCCGTAGTGGACTGGCATCGTCTTGAGGTCAAACTCAAGGCCTTGGACCCCCAGGACTTAGTAGACTTACCCGAGACGATAGCTACGTTCGATGACGCAAAACGAGCGATAGCGAGTCTCCGAGAAACTATTACTTCCACAGTCGCAGACTCGGAACGGACGGTGAAACTGTCGGGCGACCGACGGTTTAACTTTCCGCCCGACCTAAGACTGCTAATTAGACAGAAAAATGCAGCCAAACGCGCTTTCGACCGATACCGATCGGAATCGAACCGAACCCTACTTCGACGCCTTCAGCTAGAAGTCAAAGATCGTGTATCGGAACACCGACATACAACGTGGGACACTCCTAGAGGACATCGAGCCATCGCACACCGCCTCCTGGCGGTTGGCCCGCAGTCTGAAAGCAGACCCCCGCGAATCTCTACCGCCGTTAGTTAGCCCTAATAGCGCTTCAGTAGCCCTAGATGACTCCGAAAAAGCCGAATGCCTTGCAGACAACCTAGAGCAGCAATGTACGCCGCCATCGCGCGAACACACTGATACAGCCCACCTAACGGAGGTGGACCGCGTAATCGAGACTAGGGCTGCGCTTCCACCGGAAGGCGAACCTTTAAATTCAGTGAGCCCCGAAGAGGTCCAAGATATTATTAAAAATT